ATTTTAACAAAAAAATTCTAAGAGCACTGCTATAAGACTTTCAAACTTTGCAAGTTACTCTAATTACAAATGAAAACTTCAAGATAACATTTTAAAGTAGAAGAAATCACAACACACACCAGTAATGGGGTTTTTTTGGAGGCGGGGGGAAGATAAGTTTGTATTTTTTTCAATTACACTGACTTGGTTATGTCAAGTTTAAAAGGTGTGAATTAAACACTTTTTAATGCACAGTAATGGTTATGAAAACCAAAGATGAGATTAGCCTATTTTTCATTTTGCTGCTGGTTGTAAAAAATTGTCTCTGGTATTTTGTCTTCCAAGAGGAAGCTGAAAGTGTATATGACAACTTCTATTATTTGTAACAAGAACAGATAACACCTCCTCAGTATATAATAGGAGCCAGGCACTGTTCTAAGGGATTTCCATGTGTTAACTAATTTCATTTCATCCTGTCTATAAGGCTAGCACTATTATCTCCATTTTACAAATGCGGAATCAGAGGCACAAGTTTCCACAGCTGGGACCTAACAAAGTTGGGAATCAGTCCTAGAAGTTCAGGCTTCACTATGTTATACCGCCTCTCCGTATTCTGTATGGGTTTTTTGTGCTATGTAAATACTTGAAGTGTCTGCCAGTTTTCTTCTACAGAATTCTAAACCTGTAAATGTATTCTTGTTACTCAGCTCCATCATAAGTAATCAATCTCCACTGTCTTCCTTTATCCCTATCACTTGCAGGAGACACTTAAATATCATCTATTATGACCAATCTTCAGATAGTAGATACCGGTCAGAAGGCCAGTATTTTATTGTCAAACATGAGCATCTCTCGCAATAATATGGTGAAAAGTAATTAGGCTCAATAATAACTAGTTAAAAGATTAGTCAACAATGACACAAGAAAAGTTGGACACCTGCAGTCTATCCCATAACCTTAATTCATCCACACTAAGTATTACAAAGAATGAAGTACCTACTTGTATTAGGTATCTATTGCTGCAGAACACTTTCCAATGGCATTTGCCTCATTCTCCTTTAATCCCTTGCCATCAGCCTCCTAAAAGACCAAGAAGGTTCTACCAGCAATCTGTTCAAGGTATTTTATCTTTCACTAACACTCAAAGTACTTTTAACATCTGCCCAATCCCCAGTTTCGAAGCCACTCTGAAACTTTAACATATTTATGTTAGCATCCCACTCCAAATACCAAAATATAAATGTTATTTACTGCTGCATAATAAAGTCCCCAAAACAAAGGAGTTAAAGGAATAACCAAATCCTACCATTGTAACAACATGGATGAACCTGGAGGACACTGTGCTAAGTGAAATAAGTCAGACATAGAAAGACAAATACTGCATAATCTCACTTATATGTAGAATCTAAAAAAAGTCCCACTCACAGAAACCAACATTAGAAGGGTGGTTACCAGGGTTTGGGGGCATGGAGAGATGTTGCTCAAAGGGTACAAATTTTTAGTTATAAGTTCTGGAGCCCTAATGTACAGCTGAGTGACTATAGCTAATAATAATGTATTATGTACTTGAAATTTGCAAAGAGAGTGGATCTTAAGTATTCTCACCACAAAAAAATAAATAAATAAAAAGGTAACTATGAGGTAGACAATTAGCTTGATTGTGGTAATAATTTCACAATGTGTATGTGTATCAAAACATCATGTTGTACAACTTGAATATATGAAATTTTTATTTGTCAGATATATCTTAATAAAGTATAACAAAGACACAAACATTTACTACCTCATAGTTTCTGTGGGTCAAGAATTTGGTAGTGGTTTAGGTAGAGGATTTTTATTTAGGGTCTCTTATGAGGTCACAGTCAAGATGACAGCAGGGTTGCAGTCATCTGGAGGCTGAGATCGGGTAGCAGGATCCACTTCCAAAATGACTCATGGATGTACCAACTGTTGGCTCCCCACGTGGGTCGCCCCACAGGCTGCTTGAGCATCCTCAAGATACAGTGTCTAACTACGCCCAGAATAAGTAGTCCAAGAGAACAAGTTGGAAGCCACAATAGCTTTTATGAGCAAGCATCAGAAGTCCTATTGGTTACATAAATCAGTCAACCCTATTCAGTTTTGTGAGGACTGTACAAGAGCACAAATACCACGAGGTGTGGATCACTGGGTGTCCTTCTGGAGGTTGGCTACCATACTATCTCATAGAGTTTAAAAAGTATTAAAAGAGTTAATATATGTAAAGCATTTAGAATAGTACCTGGCTTGTAGTAAATGGTATACAAGCGTTTATTATCATCATTTTCTTCACTCTGGAAAGAGATGAGTATATCTATGGAAAAGTCTCTTAAATCTACCATGCCCCAGTTCCTCCATATGTTAAGATGAACAGATAAATAAAATATATTCTAAATTTCCCTTAAGTTCCAGATTTATATTTTTCTTATAGTTTTACTTAATGAGACAAAATTAACTGAGGTTCAACTAGAAGAAGTTAGTCTCTTTTCTGTGAAAAAGTATGACCCCTTCTGAGAGACGGCTACTAGAAGGTGATTTTGTAAGCACTTGTCATTAAGTTTCCAGAAAAGCAATACCATCCTTCATTATGTTCATACCATAATATTTTCAAAGATTTAAATATTCTAAAATCATCTGAATATACTTTAAAATT